CTATCCCATCCGTAATCCCTTGATCTCATTCTCAAGTCTATGTTCTGGGAGGACGGGAAGCCAGAAACCTTTTTCTAGCGTGCGTGCTAGATCACTTCGCGATCTGAAGGCCGTTGTTTCCTGAATACCAGTATTGCCGGAGAATACCACCTCAAGGACGCTGATGTCCCCAGCCGCCTTCCATATTCCTCTCCTTTTTTTCCTCTCTCCTTCTATTCGCTCCGACACGGATGAAGAATAGGGAATCAGCGTGCCCCGCAGCCAGGCGGCTCTCAGTGGACAAAACACCAGCCGGCTGTCAAGTGAACATCCCGCCTAAGTGGATATCTGCAGATGTGGAATCAGACAGACGAAGCGAGGATGAACCGCTTGATCATACCCGCTCGAGCGAGTGCCCGATGCTACGGAGCGCGGAGGAATGTCGAACCATGTGGAGGCTGCCTTCCCTTCATCTTGCTCTCTTCCTTCTACCCTCCCTCACCCTCTCCTGCTGCGGGTGCATATCCATTTTCCCGCGTTTCCTCATTTGCCTTCACTCGTACACGGTTGTCCTCTCCATCACCAGATCCACACTTTCATGCCCCTCCATCGCCTCCCTCGTTCCCGATCTTCGATGGCGGCCACTTGCCATGTGATGGATCATCCCCGCCAGGCTCCCTCCCAGTCAGACTGGCTGTCTCCACTTTGCAAGTCTTTGGCGCACAAGTGATCTACGCGCTATTGAGCGTGACTCCTAAGCGAATCTCAAAGTCCGGCTCTTGCTGCCCCAACCCCGCCGCTCAATGGCAAGTTTTTCGCCATTATTTGCCCCCAAACCCCTATCTCCAAGGCATGTGACTTCTCTACCGCTCAGCCCTTGCTCTAGCCGGACCTTTGTGGGTTTTGGCTTCTCTCGCTTGAGAAAAAGAAGAAGGTCCACGTGTGGCCGGTCCGCATGAGATTGGGACCTCCCTGCTATCTTCCATCTCCACAATTACACCTTTTCATCTTATTCCTTTGCGGAGATGGGTGAAATTCTGGGCCTCCATAACCAGTGTATGAGGGTATTGCAGGTATCTCGAGCGTGATCTTCCCGAAAACAGCGATACGTGCTCCACAAGATGAGGGAATGGGCAGGTGGGAAGGCAGGAATGCGCATCAACTGCCAGATTGAAGGGGACTAGGACGGTAGCAACGTCTCCCTCGTCTGGTGGTCCACCTCTTACCTGATGCCCACTCTTCTGCAGAGGCGAGGACTGGAGGGACAGGTGTGCGCGTCACGAGCCAGCGAGCCCACGTTCTCAGGGAGGGCTGCTCCCTTCGCTCTGCCTGTTCCGGAAAGACGGCGCACCTGCGCCGGCAAATGCCTCTTGGACTTCCGGGAGACAAACCTAAAAAGAAAGACAAGAAAGAAAAGAAAGGAAAACAGAAAGGAAAAAGAAATTCAAGGAAGAAAACCAGCAGGAGCGAATGCTGGCGAGCCGCCGACCTCAGCTGCCACCGCTCGCTTCCTCTGCACGACGTCGTCAGCCTTGTTACCCTCCCAGACCAGCCCACGTCTCTCCTGGTTTCTATTCTTAGCGCGAATTCTCACCCTGTTTATCCTGGAATAGGCCTGCCACTTCCTAATCCACCCTTTTTCGCTGTCCCTTTTCCCTTTGAACCGTGAGCGCGGTGAGATCCCGAATCTCCGTGGGCACGCTTCTCCGTCTCTTTGGCTCCATCTAAACGCTAGCCCTGTTTTGTCTTTGCTCACATTCATCAACACAACCTCACGGTGGCCTTGCATCTACGCGCCCCCAATCTCTCGCCGTCCCCATCAGCCAAGGACCAAAGTAATGGGGCGAGGACGTATTAGTCAGGGCTACCACCCGCGATTTCGATGAAGATGGACGCAGCCGCCGGCCCCCAATGACTTCGCGCTAGCAGCTCTTCCCCCTTCCATCTCTGCTCCCCTCCATTCCTCTCTTCTTCTTTCCCCGGCCTCCAGCCTCTCTCCAGCTCATTCGCACGCCCCTCCTGCATTTTCCCCACGTTTCCCCTTTCCTAGCCTCCCTTCACTCCCCCATTTCCTGCTTGTTGCCGCGACGTTACCCACGCCACGCCACGCATGCCACGCCACTGTTTTCCCTCTCGCTCCCTCTGCCATTCGTTCCCGACGTTCCTGAGGGAAGATGTGGCCGCTGTTCTCCAACGGGGTCACATTCCCCAGGCGGACTTCTCTCCCGAAGCCAGCTACTCGCACCACGCCTTTCCCTCCACCCTCATCTCGCTCACCTACCCACCCCCTGCTCCTCACCCCACACCAACACACGCAAAACCCGCGCGGAGTCCCCGGGAAATAACATGTGTGTGGAGGAAACATGGAGAAATGTTGAGGCCCTTGCATTTCCCGGGAAATTCATGAAGAAGAGAAATCAAGTAAGGGGCGGGAGCTCTGCGAAGAACCCGCCACATTCCAATTGGAAAACAGATTGAAAAGGGGGCGTGGGTGAGTGCATGTGGCTAACGTTGAAGTGTGGAAGAAGAAGGAAATAAGGTGTGAGGCAAAAGCAGGGCCTCACGCGGGAAGCCACGGGGAGAGGAAAGGAAATGACTTCATGCTTGTCCTCGACCCTTTAATCAAAGGACCGGCCAGCTCATCCTGTATCTCCAAGCCCACGGACAGGCTCACCTTGCCGGAGCCAACCCAGAGGACAGGAACGAGAGAAGAGGAAGCCAAAGATCGGTGATCCATGGCGCAAGGTGAAGCTACCTTTGGTACCGGAGCGCGAAGCCGCCTTAACCTTCTTTTCTCCCCTCTGTCCATCTCCCACTCGCTCACTCTCTTATTGTCTTCCTCTCTCTCCCTGGCTTGTCATTCTCAATGCCACAGATGCATCGAAGAAAATCTTGTCCAAGCCTCGTGCGCATTGTCACGTCAGCTTGCATGAGGCCATTCCTAAAGCGAGAATCGAAGAGGAGTGGGATGACAAGAAGAAGAATACGACAAGAGACGAAAAAGGGAAGAAAGGGGATTTAGAGTATTCGTGCCGGCAAAGTTACCATCCGCAAACCGGCCGTTACTCCCGTATGTACGCGCTCGGGACGCTGGCCGGTGGTGTAAACCGGCTCCTTTTCCCCTTCTCCCCTGCCATGCTTCTTGCTCCTTTCGCGCGGTTTTTCTTTTCGCTTTCTTTTTTTCTTGGTTCACGCATCCGTGGAGGCCAAGGTTAAACCGCGGGGTTCGGCGCGTAGATGGCCCAGGAGCGTCAGAATACCAAAGGCAGCGAGAACCGAGGAAGGCGGACAGGACGATAGAGAACCAGACGCGGGTCTACCAAAAACCCTCAAACTTTGACAATAGCTCTCTCGACTTGTTTAGATACGAGCCCGTTGTTTCTCTCCCAAGGTTGAACAGGCTCTCTTCCTCTCTCGCCATCTCGTGTTCCCTCGGGGCGGAGATGAGAAAGGGGAGAGGAGGGAGGAAGCAGAGTCGGAGTCTCATCCACGCAAGCACACCCACCCTCTTCCACTTTTACGATGTTCCATGCGCATCATCCCGTCGCCGGCTCTGGCGGCCAGTAGCAGAAAATCTAGCCTCCCCAGAAGAAGAAGACGTAGGTCCTCGTACGAAGAGAGAGAGGATCGGTGTGTTCCGATGCAACAGGAACCCTCCAAAGACCACATCTTACGCGCGAGAGCGCTAATTAATCTTTTTTCTTTTTCTTTTTATGAGAGAAAAGAAAAAGAAGAAGGGAAAAAGAAAAAGGAATCTTTCCCCTTCTCGGCTTTCACGCCCCCAGCTTCGCCGGAGGACGGCTCAAGTTCCCGATATCCCTCAATGGAACCGACCTCTCCCCCATCGCTCCTCCCTTCCTTTCCCCAACTCTCGTGAATCCAGACATCGACTCTTCATTCCCCAGACTATGCCTCAGTGCTAGTCCTGAGTCGACCAGTCTCTCTTTGGCATCTTTCCCCGTTGCCGCTACCCACGTCGTATTCTCGATAATCTCCTCGTGCTGCCGATGCCGGGGGACAGAGAGAAAACTGAGCCGCTCACATACTCCATCCCCCATCGCGGCCCCTTTTCTACAAACGTGCCTCTTGTCCCCCAGTTTCTTATCCATTTTATCAACCTCGAGGTTAAGCTGTGAGTCTGGTGTGGCCGACGAGGACCATCACGAGAAGAAGAGAAAGATCAAGAAAAAGAGAGCCGTAAAGAACGGAACAGTTTCGTCCCAATATTACATGTGAGCAAGCAATAGTAAAGAAACCAGGCACTTCATTTTCTACTCCAAGTCGGAAACTAGATATGTCAAAAAGCGCCCCTCTCCCTGGGAGGATTCCCCTGCTCCCAGAATGCAGCAGAAATAGAAAACAGAGATAAGAGATAAAGTAAAAGACAACTGCCCTTGTTCTGTTAATTTTCTCCCTATTTATCAAACCCTCACCCCCTTCCGTCGGGGCCACGTCTCTTCGTTGCTCTTGATGCAAACACAAAAAGAAAAAGCAGGCCGGTATGAGCTATGATCCAAACACTTTACACCATGATAACACTGATTGCTAGACAGCCGCCCTAAACATGGAAGAGAATCAAAATATTGGGGAAACAAAAGGAAAGACAGGTGGGGAAAACCCCCAAAAGAAAAGAAGGCAAGAGAAGAAGAGTGGAAAGTCCGAGTCCAGGAAAGGAGAGAAAATGCAGAGTATTGCCAAAAGGTTCGTCTATAATTCCTCATTCTTCCATCCAAAACAATGCTAATTATGCAAATCGCCGCCCTTGACTCTTGAAAAAAAAAGCGTTTTTGGTAGTTACTCTGAAAAGTTCCAAAGCACGACAGGACGCATGCGTCCTTTTCGAAACGACGATACCGACACCCCGTACTCTCCCTTCATCGGCTCTCATACGAAGCCGACAATATTCGCGAGGTGGATGTAGAGGATCACTCCGGGTCTTACGGGGCCCCACAAGGTCCGTTTATCATTTCGCCTGCTTTCGTTCATCACATACCCGTGGCCAGGATTGTGCTCGCTATGGCTCAATAGAGACCCCTTCCTCCCGCCAACCTTACAAAGCTATAAGGGACATTCTGTCCCACAAGCCCTCGAATCGTCTGCACAGTGGTGAAAGCCACGACATCCTCGGCGCCGTAGGCTACGAATCCTAGCCCTGCCGCAGCGGCCGTCGTCTTTGTTGCGCCATCGGCAAGGTCAAGGAAGACCTTTTGCTCCTCTGGCCTGCGAAGACGCGCAACAGCATACTGACGAGGGTTGCCTTGTCAGCGGAAAGGGCCGAAACAATCACAAACGGGGTGGTTCCGCCCGAGCGGGCACGCTGGAGGGACTCTAGGCTATTAAACGGTTCGATTGGGCTGCCTTCGTGTGTAAGAGACGTGGGCGTCTTAAAACCGACTGTGTATATCTTGGACACTTTCAAAGCCTTGAGAGCGTATAGGGCAGAGGCAGCATCGTCGGAAGAGGAGGCTAGAACAACGGCTGGATGGCCGCAGTAAGCTGAAGGCGAGAAGTCTCGTGTGAGGCTGTTGAGAATACCTCGCCAAGTAGAGTTGTCGAGGACGACGGAGGCTTCGGGGATAGGCCGCGGCCGGCCATGTTTGCAAGAGCCGGGAGCGAGGGGTCGTGCGGGTTGCGGGGACTCGAGCCGATCGATGCCGTGTCGGAGGATGCGGATGGCGTAGAAGGGGAAGAGGAGGAGTGGACAACAATCGTATCCACCATGCCGATTGCCCTTGCGGCCTCAGTAAGGATAGGGCCTGCGCCATTATTAAGAGAAGAGAAGAAGGGGAGTGTTTAGTAAGGCTGTGGTGCGAAACTGGCGGGGTCAGGTAGCCGCCCCCAAAGTTTCGCTGGTTACACCAGGCGTCTAGTCCACCTGGATTGTTCACTTGGCGTTCTACAACGGCAAAGTGGTGGGGAAGGCCGAGCTCGTTAAAGCACTTCTCGTAAAGGGAGCCTGCGGCGTTGCGATGCGGGTAGAAGCGCTGCTGTGGATGCCGTACATGCTCTTTTTCGGCAGCTGGCCGAGCAGAGAGAGGGCGGCGTTGATCTCTGCCGCGCTCATCTGGCCAGGGGCGGCAATGATTGGGAGCAATGGGTGCGTGATGGGGCAAAACACCTTGTTTAACGTCCGTGAGAACTGCCCAGTCTCGCCCATGTTGACGGCGGATAACGGTGGTGAGTCTGGGAAATCAGTCCGCATCTTGGACCGGAAGTACTCAAGCTCAAAGTTTTCGTTGTGGTCGTTTATGATGGCAATCATCTTTACGATGTCGGCGTATCGGCAGGACTCGAGGAATATCGCTTGCGCATGGGGTGACGGCCACTTGAAAGTGCCCGAGAAATCGTGGAAGGCTGACATGATGCGGCTATTGCCTTTGAGCTCCCACAACCGCCGCCGGATGGCTTCCGGGAGCCACAGTTCGACGTCGATATACTCCACCCCCACTGGATGGCGCGGTACAAATATTCGTAGTACAAATCGGGATTCTCCATCGGAAATCGTCCGTTCTCTTTTGTACATCTCGTCGTAAAGATAATGGGGAGTTCCGTGGTCTGGCGAAGGAGCATGACTTGCCGGCCAACGTAATCCAAGCTTGGTATAGATGCAAATTTTCCCTCGCTCAGGGGCTCTTTAAGTAGGTCGACTCGGATCTCAACGGCGTCGGCTCCGACGGTGAGTATGTCGAGGTTGGGGAGGGCGGCTCGGACGTCAGGAAACGTCGTAGAAATGAAATACGTCCTCGGCTTCTCCATCAAGGACTTGTGAGGACTGATCTGGCCAAGAGTGAATGAAATGAATCGAGCCAGATCCCGTCGGCAGAAAGGGGATTCGGTATAAAGAAACTCGTAATCGCAAGTGGATGAGAGTTGAGCGTCAGGTGCTATTCCTCGGTCCACGCAGTGGCATTGATGGCGACAACCAGCTCCCTGTTCCGTGAGGGGATATCTCGACGTCCCTCGCCATCTAAGATCCCTACTACGTGGCCCTGGTCCATCTCATCAATCTCTCCAAAGGATCGCTTCAATATGAACGGCCGGCCCAAAACACTGGCGAAGACAGACACGATCTTGTCTTTCCCCTGGTTATAGACGATTGCGACGATGCGAGCGTCTCCGCACTGAGGGCGACTGGCCGGTTGCCTTTGCTGCTGCATCGCTCCAGAAGCCGCGGTGTGCACGTCAATGGCAGGACCAGCGCCGTTGCTGCTGGAAGCGAGTCCGTTGGGGGACATGGTGGAGATGGGCGTCGGTCCTGGCGCAGTGACTAACTGCTGAACTGCCGCCATTGCCCAACTCGGCGGCGTCTTGGGCCCTTTTGAAATCCCTCCCTTCAATCTCACAGACCGAGATCAATTCCTCGCGCCCGGAAATGGAAAAGGACGGCAAGGGGTTGGCACTATCCTCTCCTGATCACCCTTGTTTTTTTTGCGGGGTTGCTGTGAGAAAAATAAAGAGTTGCCCACACACACACTAGAAGGATATCAGAGGGCTGCCCACCGATGGTTACAAGAACGCTAGTGGCTGCTGTGCAAACCGCTATTCGCCAAGACCGAAGGGGGTGGAATTGGGGGAGACAAACAAGTAAGCCTTCACCCCGGGCGGAGAAGATGGCCAGGATGGCCAGTCAAAGGCGGAAATATCGACGAGGGCGAAGCGTAGAACGATGTTCTCGGGGGTTGGCCGCGAGAATGTACTGACTCGGAGGAACAAATGTACGAGATCGGGATTGTCGGGTGCGAGGGCTAATGTGTTACGTGGGGAAAGGGCTTTGCTCTCAAGAATGGGTGGAATGCAAGATTCGGCTATGGAGTGGCATATATATAGAGATATATTTCAGTAATCGACCGGCAGGTGGTCAGGGGGTACTTCGGTGCGGTGCGTCTAGATTTTCCCCGGCGATGATCTGGCGTCGAGATGAGGTGGCCGGCGATTCCAATGCCGCCACGACTGTGATTCGGTTACCGATCCAAGGACCTCAAATCAGGACAGGCGGGAGAAGGCACAAGGTAGATCGGTTTTGAGCAGTTGGCGAGCTCACAAGAGTCGCAAACCCTAGAAAGTGATGGGCAGGGTCGAGGGAAAACCAAGCTAGGCGTCGCCGATCTAGACATGCGACCTCTTTCAAGGCACTACGCACAACCGCAACGCCGATGGACGTAGGGGTGGAAGGAGTATTAAACAGCACGTCAAAAAGCGCTGCTTGCTTGGTTGCGTACTCGCAGCAAGCCGAACAGGCGTACCACGAATTGGACCAGAGCCAGAGACGGGGAGAGCGGGGGGGCGTGCAAGCAAAGGTTATATCTGCCTGTCCTATCAAAAAGGTTAAAAGGGACAGAAAGTGGGACAGGGCGGAAGCTGGAACGACGGGAAGAAGGTGAAGAACGGCGCTCGGTGGTGGTAAAGGTGGCAGCAGAGCGACTGGAACTGGGGCTCGTTGCGAGAAGGACGCGCATTAAGATGTCGTGCCCCGTTTCCTCCTCCCTCTATTTCGGGAATGGCAACAAAAGCTATACGATGCCTGATATTCGTCCCTCCTCTTGGGATGATCTTCTCTTTGTTTCGCGGCTAGGTTGGCGGGCGTTGAACAGCTATCTGTCAACTACCTTTTTCTCGCTCCTTTTTTCGGCTGTCGCTGGTCTCCTATTCCAGAAGGCTCCAGGGAACCGTATGGGACAGGGATTGGTGGCGGTTAAGAAGTCCCGAAAGAGGTTGCAGAGCTCGATCAGTGATTGGAGTTTTCGGTGATGGCAAGACGGCTTGCTTGGCTCCGTGGTGGGCCGCCGATGATGTTCCGGCACGCAAGATGGCCGATTACGTCTCGACCAATTTTTATCCAGTTGTACTGGTAGTACCGCTGGCCTTTTCAACCACGTATAGGTAAGCTCACCGATGATGCCGACAAGAATATACGGCCCCTCGATAAGAGGCGATTCCCCCAACAAGCTAAAACCACCGGAGTAGTGGGGTGAGCGGGAAAAAGGTGAGCTGGGGCGGGGCGGGGTGAGGTGCAGATGGTGCAGAGGAAAAGGGCTAAAACAAATGCGAGCAGGGCAGCAGCCAACCGTTGATGTTGGTGTAGATCAAGTATAGCGAAAATGAAAAGAAGAAGAAAGAAAGAAGAAAGAAAAAGAAAGAAAAAGGAGACGAGCGGCTCGCTCGCTAGGGACTGTTATTAAGAGAGTGAACAAACACCACCAGCCCTCACTTGCCGAAGTTCCTTCGGCAGGGCGGTAGAAAAGAAAATGGTATTCTAGCGGGAAATCCGTGAACCACTGCCGTGTCTGTTTAACAGCGTCGTCGACTCACTCCCTTGTCCTAGTCCTTTTTCTCTTCTTGCTCTCTCTGACGCTGAATATCTCGGTATTTTCCGAGGAATTGCTCGCCGAAACTGGAGGGTTGCCGAAGGTGTGCGCAGCATGCCAATGCTCTCGGCGAGGGACGGCCAACCGGGCCAGCCAAGCTTATATGGCCCGTCTCTAACTTGCTCGACGCGTACTCTGAAGAACCGCCGAGTCGGAGGGCGGGAAACGGAAAGGCCGCCGGCGTTGGCACTCTACAGCAGCGAACAACTCGGATGCTGATTGATGCGGACTACCAGGAGAAATATGTTGTGGGAGATCCGGCCACGACGCATAGCCTCATGTTAAGTGGTTTTGGGTCGGCTTGGGAGGAGATACCCTGGTGGAAGAGATCAAATCAAGCGAGAGAAGGAAAAGCGAGCGTAACCTGTCGTAATTTCCTTATATAACTTGGAGCGGAGCCCGGAGGAAGGAGGGACTGGAAAGCATCCGAAGGAGAGGTAACCTCGTTATGTATAAGGGCAGGCAGTCGTGATGTTCCTTCCCTTTGATCAATCGCCTAACAAAGTACACACGCACGCACATTTGACACTGATGGATCCATAGATGGATATATACACTACACACATGCCCGCACACTAACCACAGCCCGCACGCTCGCGACACGACTAACACGCATTCATCACGGGCACTTCTTCCGCTCCCCGTCATCTTAGCGAGGAGCAAAGTGACACCCACAGCGACTGTCGCAATTGGCTTTCGGAGGATTTTTGCTTGAGCAGGGGCACGCTCAAAGGGGGGCAAGCGGGTCCCGAAACAGACTAGCCCAGAGTAGGGAGGGCTAGATGGGAAAAGGTGCGAGCCGCAACGCAGCGGGCAACATGGCACCAAATCTCAGATGACCAAACCGCCGAATCGCGCGGCGAGCATTGGTCCATGAACGGGGCGGAATCGTTGGGGGGGCATCAACGATGGCAGTTTTTGCAAGGGGGCCACCATCTCCATTCTCGCCGACTAGGTTCTTGTTTGGGTTTGGGGGAGGAAGAGACCCTTGTGTGGGGGAAAATAGCAACGATTCACGATTGGGGGCAGTTGGTCGTTTGGGGATGTTTGGTTTCTGGCACCTGTCGTTGGTGGAAAGCCTGTGCGCCCAGCGCTGGAGGAATATTTCCCACCACAGAGATGGCCCCCTCCCGCTGAGGGATCGACCAAGTTCGAAGATGGGCTGTTGGTCGTTGGCAAATGGATCAATTCAATGTCCGGTTTGTCGTTATGCGATGGGAGCTCGTGCTTTGTCCATGAATTTATGCCACTTTTATGCTCAACATAGCGTCCGATTTTCTTTCGATTTGATTGATCCATCCATTGTCTTGACACTGATGCTTTTCCCTACCTTGTCTCGCTCTTCTTACACTATTCCTATTGCCCCCTCCCCTCCCCTTGTTCGTCACTGTCGATCGGCTATGCCTGTGTGCGCTTCTAACGGCACCCGCCGAAGCTGCTTGTTCCAGGTCCATGGGGAGCAAAAAGATCGACGTCACAGCCCAAAAGGGGGCAAGAATACATACTTCGTAGAAAAAGAGCATTTTCTCGAAACAATCGACAGCCGAGCATTCGTGATGTTCGCTCCGCCGCATTGTTTCGTGTCATGGTCCTTGTCGGCAGGCCAAGACCAAACTGACGTCGAATGTTACCTCGGTCCTAGAAGGAATGGTGCAAGATCAGCGGAAAGCAACCTTGGGGACAAAAGCTTTGCCTCTTTTTTACACATTGATGCTTCCAATCCTTTTCTCGTGCCATCTCTGTCCCCCATCATTGCTAGCCAGAAATAGCCTTGCGTGCCTGCCGTGGATGGTTTCCGAAAAAGAAAGCGGCGGCTTGTTCAATGTACCTCCACCGCGCTGACTGATCAAAGTCCACATTGACGCTTCAATGGCTTGACATTGCTCAAACAGCCCAGGCCACCCTGCCAATTTTACCTGGCTCCAAAAAGCCCCCTCTCCTCGACCCCCAGATTTCGCAGCTCCCGCAATACCACTTGAGCAAGGACTATTGATCCCTCTCGACCCTCACAATGCTCTTCCCCACGAAAAGCGCAGTCCAGGATCGCGCTAACAAAGAGCTGGAGGCCCTCGCCGCCCCGTGATTTGCGGGCTTCTACAAGCCCACCAATTCAAAATTCCTCCGGACCTCGAGGTCAAGGATTCGGAAATATCCTCCAATCGTAGTGATTCCATGCTTCCAGACGTCCACAGCAAGCTCTTTTGCTTTTGCTCGTGATCCAAGGAAAACGGCATTGTGATAGGCATCTGATGGAACAAGCCTTGACAAGGGAAAAATATCCGCTACCCTTATCTCGGCGTGTCTGCAAAGTCCCCGCCCCTTCAAACCAAACATGGACAATCATCCACAGGGGAGGCCGCGCGGGGGAAATGCAGAATAGAATCAGAAAACAAGGTCAAATAAAGAAAGAGGAGGAGAGGGAGAGGGGAAACTAGGGAAAAAGCCGCACCAACGCTCAACTAAAGACCATCGCGTATCAGACAAAGGATCATCAATATAATAAATGATGATCGCTTCAAAGGGCCATCGATCATGGCATGTTTCCGCCCCTTACTCGGACGCGCACCATTTCGCTTTTTTTCCCTCTTATTTTCCATGCAGCGTCTCTTTCGTTCCCATCCGTCCAGCCTCCTGCCTGCCTGCCCTGCCCCCCTTTTTTGCTTTACAGAGCAGAGAATCCGCATCATTCCCCACGATATGGCACCCAGCTTCCCAGATGCCTCGCATGCTTTTTGACTTCAGGCTGAATGCTTCCGGTTCCCGACAGCCAGTGACGCGTACACCACTTGACGTTCGACCTCGTAGCTCCTCGGGGCAGGATCCTCGCGCGGGGATGGCCTTCCCCCTGTCGGCTCTGGTAAAATAGAAACAGAAAGAAAAAGAAGAAAAAGAAGAAAAGGAAAAAGAAAATGGGAAGAATGACAAGGGAAGAAAAAAAGAATGAATGGAAAAAGAAGAAGAGGGAAGAAACCGAGGAAGGAGAAGAAAACGGTTAGGAAAGGGAAAAAACATGAGATGAGATCGCTGAAGCAAGATCGATGGCTCATCGGCTTGTCTCTCGTTTGAAGATGGGATGAAATCTGTAACCCTCTCACGTTGAAACTTTGATCGCCGCCATGGTTAAAAACCCCCGTTTTATATACCAGTGCCTCCCCTCGTCCTCCACGACATGCCTTGCACGCGCGCTCGCGCGCATACAGGCACATTGAGCACCCGTCCTGTCAAAGAGAAAAAGAACCAGAAAGGAAGGAAAAAGAAAGACAAAACGGGGCAGGACCCATAGCTTGCGGATAAAACAAAAAGAAGAAAAAAAGGATAAATAAAAGACGAGAAGCTTAACACTTTGACAGCCGGCGGTCAAAAACAGCCAGCCACACTAAGACGCAAAACGCGGGATGATATCACCTTGCAAAAAGAAGAAGAAGAAAAAGACCCCTCGTCGGCTCCAAGGCCTGGGCGGAAATCGCCCCCAAAAAGGTTTAGCACTTTGCCCCATCAGGGGTGTCTAGGGATTTATTGTGACAGCGGAATCGCTCGGCTCGGGAAGCGATCGAAGGTTTTGGTCTACATATCCGCCGGGATAATTCAGAAAGAGCCTCTACTGTTGCATGTCTGGGGTTGAGGCGGCTCTTCATTCCTTCATGTTCTCTTTGCCCTGTCTTCCTCTATCACTCTTCCTCTCCCTTGCTCATTCACCTCAATCCACTCACCTCAATCTTAATCACAGTGAGAGGGGGAATGCGGGGGAGGGAGGCGTGTGTGGGAATCCAGGGAGGGGAAAGAGCAAGTTCTTTCTTCCTTCTTTTTTCTTCTTTTTCTTTTCCTCTTGTTTTTTCATGTTCTCTTCTTCCTTGCGCAAATACAGGTTTCGCCTGTCGTGGGGGGTATATCCGTCACTATGCCTTCCCTTCGTTTAGCCACCTCACACTCCCTCTGCTTGATCCGCCGCGCACAATAAAACCCCCAAGTCAAGTAGTGGGGCGCGCCACTTTCATGCTTCCCCGACGCCCTCGCTCTCCAACAACGCCGCCCTGGCCTCCTCGTCTTCCTCCTCCCTGTGTTCGAGTGTCCCCACCGGGCGGTTCTTCTCGCGCTCCGGGCTCGTCCACCCTGTACCCAACTGGATGAATACGACGACGAGGCCCAACCCCGCAGCCGCAGCCCACGTCGCCCTCGACGCCCCGGCATATCCCTCGATGGCCACCTGTCGTTCCTCGAGGCCCAGTCCTCCCGAGAAGACGTGGTTGGGGCTGCCCAAGAGCTTTCTGACGAGCTCCGCCCTCTCCTTGGTCAACCCGTCATGCGTGCCGTCCAGATCCGCGTATCCTCGTTCCAGCGCAGCGCGCAGGAGCCGGTAAAACACCCCTCCGCCGATAGCCGTGCCGAAGCTTCCGCCAAATCCGCGCACCGTGCCCATCAGGCTCGTCGTGATGAACTGCGTGCCCTCGTGGCTGAGGTGTAGAATGTGCGCGAGCGTGTAGTTGAGGGTGGCCCCGTCGCGAGCCCGTTGAGGAGCACCGCCAGCGCCATAATCACGGCCGGCGTGTTGGGATAACCCACCGTTGATAGTAGATAGAGGGTCGCAGAGAAGACAGCCATGCTGATGGCCGAGGGGAGCCAGAAGCTGCCGCCTCGACGTATGTGCAGCCAGCCGATGATGAGACCTCCGGACCCGAAGCCAAAGTTTGTGGCGACGAGGATCGATCCGGCAGCCGGGGGCGAGTACCCTTGCACGGCAAGCATGAACACCGGAGCGTAGTATAACAAGGTCCACCGGGCAGCCATGAACCCGAGATTCGCGAGGCATGAAAGGAGGATGCCTCGGGATGACAAGACTTTGATGGGGATAATTGGATCGGCTGCGATGTAATACTCGGCAAAGACAAACATGCCCAGTGTGCCCACGGAGATTATTAGTGGCGTTGGCTGGATATCCCCAGCCAAACCGTAGAGGAAGAAGACGATCGTGATGGTCTGTAGGCGTCCCATTAGCAAGACATTTTCAAATGTGAAGCCCACCCGTATCAGCAAAAACTAGTATTTCTTACCAACAAACATGCCCCGAGATAGTCAATCTTGACCAACTTCTCTCGAAGTGAGCCGTGCTTAGACCGCTCAGACACGCCGACATTGGGAGGCAAGGCGAGAAAACGCCCACTCCCGACGCCAGGGCGATGGGGGCCTGTATCCAAAACAGAGCTCGCTATACCAACACCATGTTAGCACTCATGCACCTCAAAACTAAAAGATCTACCCAAAGTCCAAATTGCGCGCGTAGGAGATGGATATCAGACGGAGGTGAAGGAAAAGGACCAGAGGATGAACGCACCCATCCAACAACGGGCTCAACGGCACCAAACACAACAGCGCCAAAACTCAGCCCGATAGTAAACCCAACATTGACCAGACCGATAAACAAGCCCCTCCTCCTCTTCCCCGCGAGGCCCAACACGAGAACGATGGCGAGGGTCATGGCGCCCGCCCCGCCCGCGCCCATGAGCACCCTCCCCGCGATGAACTGGGCAAACGTGGCCGCGCGCGAGCACAGCAGACAGCCGGCCGAAAAAGCGAGAGAGGACGGTAGTATGAGGGTGCGAGGGGGAAGATGGTGCAGAGGCGCCCGAGGAGCGGAGACAGAGCGGAGGCGGCGATGAGATAGGCCGTCGTGAACCACATGGCGGAGGCGTACGAGTTGAGCGCGTCAGCAATGGTGGACTGCGTCATGGTCATGCCGGACATATTGGATGCTAGTGTGTAGTTATTTTCGCGTTAGCGAGCCCGAGGCTTTGTTTATCCCCCATCCCTTTCACTCGAGTATTCGGCAGGAGGAAGCAAAGAGTGAGAAGAAGCATCGAGCCAGAGATAAAAACGTACCCTGCAGAAAGAGTTGCGCCCACATGCTCAGTATCACACAGACCGCCCGCCACCGACCAATCTTCACAACCTTCATATCCCCATCCCCCTCGTCCCCATCCCCATCCCCATCCCCATCCTCATCCCGATCCACAACCCCCGACCATGGTGCCGCGGTCCGTTCCCCGCATACATGTCTCCCGCGCCGTCGCGCAACGTAGCCGAACTCGCCGAGCTCAGAAGCGGCGTCGTCTCTGAAACCACCGATGCCGTCGTCGAGGGGACTCCGTTTCCGCGTCGTGCAAGGTGATGATGGGAGGCCGGGAAACCAGGGACGGCGTGTCCCGCGGCCGCGGAGCGGTGGGCGCCATTGTGCGCTTTTTATAGTTCTGGTCGGATCACCCCGTCCGTTTTCCCCCACTCCCACGGTTCTCTCCTGTCCCTTGTCCGGCTTTGCTTTTCCCGTTATTACTCTACTTTCCCTCTAGCTCGATACCCAAACTTGCTTTGTTTAGACTGCGGTTGTGGCAAAAGGGGTGGTTTGACCCTTGCCGGCACGCAATGGTACGCTCTCCGTCCAGGTCCGAACGATCAACACCGAAGGTGGGGAGGCGGGCTTGGCGTAAACCCCAATGGCGACGAAGAACGTAATATCGTTTGATGTCTTCGCGTCCAGAAAGGACCCCCAAAAAAGCCACCCTTTAGCTGTCCCTGGAAAATCCACGCGAGCGGGTGACAGGGCGCGACAAATAAGAAAGATCGTCGCTAATCTACCCCAGAAGCGGTCGGGTACGAGTTCACTTCATCAAATCACGTCATCCACAAGCTGAGCTGTCTTCCTCGTGGACTTGTAGACTTGGGTGGTGGATATTGTTAGTGAAGGTGATCTTGGTCCGGAAAACCGGCGAAATACTGTAGGTAGAAGATATGAAAGGGGGAATAAGGGCTCACACCAACACTCGTCAATTGAAGATACTTCGTCCAAAAAATCAATTCAAGGAGGAAAGGGCAACCGAGACACGAATGATGTCGTGGACAGGAGATAATAAGAAGAAACTCCAGTGCTAACCCAAGCTAGACGAAAGGGGTCATTGCTTCTCCCTGACCAGCCGGACCCGAAGTTCGGGGTCCTTGATTGGTAATCGAGAATCCTGACGTATCCTTCGGAGCCTTTGCAGAGCAAGGCACGAACCGCTTGGTTCCGCGAGGTCGAAAAGGAGCAACTCCCCATTCCGTTTGAGAAGTTGACCTTTCCAACTCGGGCCTGGTCCACTCGAGACTGGCCTCCTCCACCGCTTCGGCTCAACCATCGCTCCAACTTGACTACACGTCCTGACCTCAAGTCTCCCGCGCGGCCGCCTCTCCCCGGCCATCTCACCGTCCCAGGTTCATATCAAGGGCAATTCATAACACGAGGTCGAAATCAAATCAAAGAAGCATCATCAGGACTTGTAAAGCAAGAGTTGCGGTCAGGAAACATTCCTTTTTCCTCATTTCGTGTCTTGAAGAGGGCGGCAAGTACACCAAAAGGAATAGCCCGCCTTCTTCCCCTACATATTCTCCGAGGCTCCGTCTCGAAAAGATACATCTAGCAAACAACAATAATAATAAAAAAGAAGCAGAAGAAGAGAAGCGGCAACGAGACTCGAGAGTGAGAACTGGAAGAGAAAATAAAAACCAAGCGAGACTAAAACCCCAAAGAAATCGTATAATAAACAAGCAAATATAGATAAAATCAAAAGAGCCACCCGTACCCGTCAAACTAAAAGTGAGAGTCGGATTTTTCAAAGAAACCAAGCCTGCGCCACGCAAGATAGAAAACGAAAGAGAAAGCCGTCTAGCAGAAGAAGAAAGAGAAAGAAAAAAACGAAAAAGTGAGGGAAAAAAGACAAGTAGAAAGAGAGAAAGACAGACATGATAGTAAAAGACAGAAGAGAACAGAAGAAAGAAAGGAAAAGGGGGAAGGAAAAGAAAATGAAAAAGAAAAAGAAAAAAAAAGAAAAGAAAATGAACCCGCAAAAGACGATCTCAAGCCGCGCATAAAAGACAAGAACCCTGCCGCCCACCCGCTGTTGCCCTTCACCAAGTGTCCCTAGATCCCAGTTCTATAGATGCCGTAGTCCCGTCCCAAATCGCCAACCCTTGTATACCTTTCGCAAGACAAAACGCTGTCCCTGTGCCGCCATGATGGTTCCCAAATGTGTTGTACAAAATCCGCCCTCATCCCCTCTTCACCAAAAGCTAGCGTGTCTCTAGCCTGGCGATGGCATTGGCTGCCCTTCCGCACAAGGCTTGTGCATTCTCCTTCTTGCGCCATCTCCCTCAGATGTTTTGCCGAGATTCTTCTAAGCATCATCCGTCGCCAGGGCGGGGGCCCAGAGCAACCCACACGTTCACTGATGCAAATGGATGTGTGTTTTTGTGCCTGTCTTACGCTCGAATGTTAGCCGCCGCAAACCTTCCTCTTCCAGAGTGTATTGGCAAAGCCAAGGCGATGGACCGACTCACATTCGATGAAAATAACCCAGGCAAACCCCATATGGCTCATTCCTCTCCCCTTGGTTGACTCTCGGGGTGTCCATGAGTGCACTGCTCTTCGCCTAGGTGATGGAGCCAAGAAACTCTTTGCTCAGCCGCTAAGAATAACAGCTGAGAACTCGAGTCCCAAAGGCCATAACCCAAGGGGGTAGAGAGTATGTATCCCGAGTAGAGTAATGATCCATCAGCTGCGGAACGAGAGAGCACGCTTCAAAGAGAGAGCGATGCTGTCGCGTTCCGTAGAATCAAGGCGCAACTTTCTAGTATCGCTCGCGGAGGGGCATTCTCATGGAGTCGTTCTGAAACAAGGGCATCTGTTCCAAAACTAAAGTGTCAGAGACGAGAGCATTGACAAGGAGAGGATTGAGGACACTACGCACGATGGAGCAGGCAGGCTGCTGGTGGGAATAGTCGAGGAGTGCAGAGCCGCCGCTATACCCCAGATTGGTGGATAGAGCCCCAGTTTTATCGTAGGCTGTATTGCTGATTCGCGGAATCCGCTGGGGAGAAGAGTACGAAAGCTGGTGTTGGTAATCCATCGCTTCCATGGAAAGGCGCGTAGAAGCAGGCGGGGGAGAAGAGGCGTGCACGGAGCCGCTCGCATCCATGCTAATGGGACTCAGCAATTCGATGGAGCCGGCCTGGCTCGTCGGTATGGGTGAGGGCGACAAGAAGCCCGACGGATCCACCCATTCAACGCTCGAGGACCGGGCGGTGGATCGGTTGCTACGGGTAAGATCTGATCCGGTCGAATAGGTGCTGGAAGCGGATGAGGGGATACCGGGCGCATCATTGCAGGGTGCGAGGCCCCCGTGGTTATTCGCTGGGCTCGCAAACTTGAGGTGCAAGTTAGGACGCCGGGGAGCTTGGACATCAGAATAACCAACCAGGTGCAAAGGGTTCTCGTGCGGGTGAATTGACTGGTGTTGGATGACGGGCAACTGGTGGGAGAGGGAAGTCGGAAAAACATAGTTATTACCAAAGGTTTGCCGTCCCTGGGATAGAGGTCGGCCGTACGCGTCGGCGCGACCATTGCTACAGGGGGTGAGAGGGGAGTGGGCGGGTCAAGACAGCTAGAGGGCGTTGCGGTTCCGTCAATGGTGGTGGTGGCAGGGTGGTAAACCCCAACCGGCATCGAAGTGGAAGTGGTATACATGGAAGACCCGCCATATCTTTGGGACATGCGACCGGTCACGGTTGGGTAGGGCGAGTGTCGGATTCCGAGGCCAGAGCCAGCTGGAGAGTGGTGCGGACGTCGGCGGGTTGAATGCAGGTTCTGGTCTCTCAAGCCTCGTTGCCTCTCCTGCTCACTTTAGACTTGTCAATCGGTAAGCTCTCACCGAACCACACTATTGAGGGGACCCCGCCATGAATGCGGGCCTGGATAGGTGTTCCTGAAACTTACTGCTTCTGCTCGTGCCGGTCGAGAAGATCTTTGCGATGGAACTTTCGACCGCAACCCGGCATCTGGCACTCGTGGCTCGGGGTCTTGTGGCTAAGTTGATGACGCCTATGGGAAAGAAAGGGGACGCGTTAGCCTTTGGAGCACGATTTACAGGGCTTGGAGGCCCCATAGGTTAATGGATCAGGGTTATGGCCATACTTGAGGTGCTCATTTCTGGTAAAGGTCTAAAGATGGCGAAGAAAGAAATAACAAGTCAGCAAAATTTTCTTTTTTTTTCTCTCCCTCAATACTGGAGATAGCATCCGGGAGCTGGTGAGATATCACAAACCCTAGGAGGAACGCAATCATTGCAAGTGTGGACAGGGACACCCTTGAGCGCTTTGCTAACGCGACCCGTAACAGGCGTGTACTTGACGGGCGCTTGGGCATCTCCGGGGCCACTGCTGCCGTAAGCCCGCGCGCTGGGCCCGCTGGCGGAAAGATTATGCGGATGAGGGAGCGGGGGCATGAACGAGGGCATGCCATGGTGGCTATATGGGTAGCCTTGGTGATCCATGGGATCTGGCGTGTGGCTTTCTCGATATCCGGGATTTGAAGTGGCCTGGCGGCTAGTCGACACCAACGACGAGGATGAGGCGGGCGAAAAGTCCTCCGGCGAGGCGGGTCTGGTATTGTTCTGAACGAGCGGGGTCGTCCTTCGGTCGTGGGAGGATGTGGAGTACCGGCTGTCGAGGAAAAGCTGTTGAAGAGGCTGGGTAGGGTAGTGCGGATGAGAGGAAGGATGCTGGTTGTGATGCGCTTGTAGGGTAGTGGAACCCTGGCCTAAGGAATGCGATGATGCAGAGGATGTGTGGGGAGGCAAAGAAACTCGGGGAGCGGAGGAGGATGGGCCAGGTTCCCTTTAATTACTCGGGGATCAGACTGGCTATCATCCTCCAGGTTCATGATCGATCTAAGGCTAGCCATGATGCGAGGCTCAAAATGACATGATGTGAAGGGCAAAGGAGGCTGAGTTTGTCGAAACAAGCGCGGATGCGCAAGAGTGGTCGGCTGCCTGTAAGCTTGCACGAGGTAGGAGGCTCAGGTCCCCGGAGGTAGTAGAAGCCGACAGACTAGGCGAAGTTCAAAAGTGGGAACAGTGGAAAAGAGGTAGGTTGTGGAGAATGGAGGGTCGCCAAAGTTAGCAACTCACACAGCCCCTATGTGCAGAGGATGTCGTCTTGGTGAAATAAATAGAGAACGAGGTGTAAGTGGAAACCCAACGTTTAAGTTGGTCGCGAATTGGGTCATGAATGGGGGATGCATGTCAGATATGGGGTGGGAAGAAAGTAGGAAACATAGGATTGATAAAGAAAGACGGGCGTGAGAACTAAGAGAGGGAGGGCCGGGGGGGTGTGCGTGTGTGTATGTGTGTGTGTGTGTGGGAGGCGTGTGATTGACAAGGGCAAAAGACGCACTCAACCTGACAGGTACCAATTGATGCTATCGCAGGCTGAGGGGTGGGATATGCGATGCCCAGCTGCAACAAGTACAAGGCCAGGCACATGGAGAGACGGGCAGCTGGGGATATGTCGGATTAATGCCTTCTAGCCCTCTCTCTCGCACCTTGGTAGAAACCAAACATGAATAGAAACATACGGAAAGCCGCCAGGACAGGGCGAGATGAACAAGGGCAAGAAACGTGGATTCGCTACTACGGAATACAAAACCAACGAGCGAATGTGAACATAGTGTACCTTCCTTTCTTCCTTTCTATTTTCTTTTTTTCCTCTTTTTTCCCCTTCTCGAGAATAGGCAACAAGGGGGTGAAGTAAACACGCAGAAGGTGTGGACGCTTGAGAGCAAGAGAAGGGGTATTTTTTTTTTTGTCGACGAGCCAATTTGGAGCGGAAAGGACCCTTGGGGGCCCCCAGGGCCGTTCTGTCTGGGCAGAATACACGAGTAAAGAGAAAAAGAAGAAAAAAACTTGGCCTTCTCAGCGTGCCAGCCCGGCTGGGGCTTGTGATGAAACTACCCTCTGCTTCCGTGTCTTTTCGCGTAGAATGGGGGCCGTTGGTAGGAGGGACGGCCAGGGAGGGTGTGCGAAGACAGGGGAGAGGAAAACAAGAAGAAACGCCGAAGATCGAGGGCTCGTCGAGTGGGGATGAACCCTCCGACAGGTTCATACAAGCGCCGGTAAGAAAGGCCTTGTGCGATGTGAGATGGAGAGGGAAAGACCCAGATTTGTTCCCACAAGAACCGCGCGGACGGGACGCATCGCATCCGCGCTGCGCACGGGAGCTAACTAGGGAAGATGGTCCATAGATAGAACAAGGCAGAACCGAATGGTGGGTGGGTCTTCCTGGGTGGCACTGGGCAGTACTTTGTTGTCCGCACCATCTCGCTAAATGCTTGAGGCGAGGGGTGGGTGGGTGGGTGGGCGTGTTTTGTGCCTGCTGCGGTGCCCCAAAAGTCCAACGCCTGTCCAGTGATATCAGCGTTGATGTAAGAATGGTCGCATGGATCCATTTCATCCAGCACCTTCTCCAGCGGCACGAGTAGACCTAGCCACTATAAACCGAGGTGCCCTTCCTAGCTGTCCTGTCCGGAATAAAGTAGTGAGTGGGGAGGAGTGACAGGGGCGAGGGCTGTGATCCAGGGGTCATCGCCAGGGATGCAGCAAGGGGGCACCAAAAGGCACAAGGGATCAGCCAGCAGAGTCTCCAATGGTGGAGGAGCAAGCAACAAGGACAGCGAGTGGCCCAATCGCGCCGGTTTGGTACCTGTAATGCGCTTTGGACCCTTTTGGATCCACAGAGCACAGGGTATATCCGCTCTTCTCCCTTTTAACGTGCCCGGTCCAGCTATTATTGCTATTACTTGTACTTGGAAGCAAGTGAGCGACTTGTCGAAGCCGCACCAGGCTCGAGCTTGGCTCTTCGTTTGCGGCTAGTGCGATCATGCCTGAACCGTTGGTCCAGGCATAACTTTCCAAGCCAAGGATTCATGGTTGGGGAAGCAGGAAGGCATGGCATGGTATCAAGCTTTTGAGCACCCTAAACCCTGGCGATGAGGAACAAGTAGATCGGCCAGTAGCTAGCCAGCAAGTCAGTCTGAGCATCCCCGCCCGCGGAGCTCTCACGTTGTATCAATAATGGGGACCGAGGTCTATAGGAAGCGACGCGGGCCGAAAACGCGACCGAATAAAAGGTAGATGGAGGGGAGAGAGCGGAATGGAAAGAAACAAAAAAAAAGAAAGAAAGACAAAAAAGAAAAGAAAAGAAACGAAAAACGCTTTCTAGCAAGCATTCCATTGATCATTTCGCACTCGCATCAGTGCAGCAGGAGGGCGGGTACCACGGGGTAATATCGAGTAAATTAGGCTTCGGTAGTGCTTGAGTGGAAGGGCCAGGGAGCGCATCTGGCCAGGGCCCTGCTCAAAGATGGCGGATAAACCGTTGTAACAGGGCAACTATCCCTGCGACTAAAGTCCAAGGTTCTCCTGGTCCTTTTGCGCCGATTATTGTGCCTGTCAAGCAAAGGCCAAGACACTAACGGTCAAGCTTGCCATAGAGCGGGCAGCGATCTTGAGGACCCATCAACCGATCGCAGTAATTTCTGGTTCCCATCACAGATGCGATATGACGGACAACATCGCGAGCGGCTAGACAAGAAGGAAGAAACTCCACCCCGACCCGCCCGCCCCGAAACGAATAAGGAAAGGGAAAAAAAGAAAGAAAAAAAGAAAAAAGCCCAAAAGAACATGGAACAAAAAGAAAACAAAACGAATAGCATATTACGCGGCTGGGCGACTGTAACAAAGTGCAAAGGTGAGTTGGAGCGGGGAAAGAGGCGGCACGGTAGAGCAAGCGCTGGCAGGTACGCCAAGCATACCTCGGTAGGGTGGGTGTGAGACGAGAAGGCAGCGAGGAGGTGCTGAAAAGGTCGATTCCATATTTAGAAGCCACCTCTCCGGCTGTTGGGTCCAATGTCGCATTTACGGAGGTTATCCACATTCGCGTTGCAGAACGCCACATATTTTGGGCCAGCCAGGTACCGCCAGCCGTCAGAGGAGAAAGGGTTCGCTCGCCACCAAAGACAAATGATGCTCTCGCCTTCTATCGCCCTTTACCTTGAGCCGTGTGTGTATGTGTGTGTCTGTGTGCACGATGCGTACCGAAACGAACCGCGCACCCTAACTTTGGCTAGAGGCGTGGGGACGGGGTGGGACTGGTCTGCTTCCTCTTCTCTTTTTTTTTCTTCTCCCTTGCCCATCAATTTTCTCCTTGTTAATAGGCGCTAACTGGCGTAATATTCGAGGAAGAATTGGTGGTACCGAAAAGGCCCCACAAGCGGGATCGCAGGGAAGACGGCAGAGAGTCTACCAATCTACATCGATTATGTCAGTGGTGATGATAGTCTGGAGGAAGGGAGCGATACTTGAGAGAAGCTCCTATGGACTTGGAAGCCTCTTTACTCGCCGCAGCAATCTTGCCTTCCAGCCTCTATCCTATCCGGGCGGTGGCTCTCCCATACTCTTCTTCAAATTGAAAGGGCAGGCACCCTACCCTCCGTTCTGGAAGCGGCGAGGTATCGCGGATCCTCGAACGCCCAGCAAGGGTTGAAAAGAAACGCCGGGCGCCTGCGTTCAGTCACGATTGAGTGATCCAAACATATTGACCCAGGGAGCCAAAGAGTCAGATCATCTGTAGCCTTTTCGGTCTGCCAGCTCACTTTGCATTGGCGGACGTAAGAGAGAGGGGGAATAATCCCTGCTGCTATAGGGTGGGAAGAAATTATAGACAGGGTGACATCTGGTAAGGAATCCCGGGAAAGAGGTTGATGGGAGAACGAACGGGCTGGGAAAGGGCAAAACTTGAAGGGGGCACAGCACAAACCTGACAGGTACCCCCTCGCGAAAATCACTATGGACGGTACATGCATCATTGGGTAGAGTTTACTAATACCACTTCAACCCAGAAGATACCCCTCCGAGCCGAAGTTCCAGATCCACTACCCCAGCCCTGTCCTCGCTGCCTCCTGCCTCGAGCGTCCTTCGAGAGAATGAAAATGAAGGAAAGCGATGTCACAAAGGAAAGGTACATGCAGCGGCTGGATAGAACAAAAGGGATCAAAGCTAGAGAGGCAAGAAGAATTAGCTCACTTCCACCCCGGTAGAGCAGCTAAGATTAGACAAAACCAACCGCCTACACTGAGGTAGCAAGAAACAATACAGGAATGGAATGAATCAATTGGATCAAATGAAGCTTGGGAACGCCTTCGCGCCAGCGTACCCTGGGTACACGTGAAGATCATCAGTTGCTCAACCAGGGCTGAAGCTCAAGCCTCCCCCTCTTTAACAAGAACGAACGAGGAGTTCAATCTTATTATAATAGCGTTCGTTTGTTTTCCGCCTCAAAGAGCCAACGGCAATAGAATTTCGGCCTGAATACCCCCGTGAGAGCCGGGATGGTGATATGAAGAAACATAATAAATCTTTTCCTAAGTGCGTGCTTGAAACACCTTCCCCGTCAAGTAGAGCAGGG